TCAGCCTGACCCGGTAAGATGAGCATCGCTCAGCTCTTCACAGCACAGATGGCTGGCTGAAGATCCTCCCTCAGTGGCCTGCTCACAATCAAAGGAGCGAGTGCATTTGGCAGGTCATTTTGGATAAGTGTCAGTTTGGAAAATGTAATTGAAGCTTGAAGGGCCCTCTGTTACTAGCAGCTTTCAGAATTATCATGGGACAGGGAACCAAAGCTCAAACATGTCTACCTCACAGAGCCTGCTCTCGGTTCTTTTACCATTTAAAGTATAGATTGGGGAATCAATTGTTTTGTGGATTTATTGTAACTAGTGGTGTTTGAAAAAGCAAGCATTCCTATTATTATTGATCATATAGGGTTAGCAGTTGCGAATAAATCCTAGAATTTGCTTCATTTATGCTAAAAACATAAATGGCAACTCAAACAAATGTGGCTTTTATGGTGAACTGGTAATTTTCTGAGTGACTGGATGCATAATATTTACCCAGTGGACATTAAATGGGAATGGGAAAAAAGCTATTTTTCCGATTTAGTTTATTTTCAGAAAATGGTAAATCTAGTTAAATTATCATTACTTATGTAATGCATATACTAATGTTACATAAAGTTGGAAATGTACACTTTCTTTAACAGTGTCTGCCAAGAAACACTTTTAAATAAATGCTAATGGTACTTGTAGCAACTCAAGTGTGTGTAGGCTTTGTCAATAGCCGTCTTTGTGTGGACTGACCATAAAATGCATTTCTGTGGTTGCTGTGTTGTTAGTTTTGACTAAACAAGGCGATATAGAAGAAATCAGATCTTTTGCATAATGCATGGCACTTGTGCGGTGAAGTGGAACCGGCCTTTTCATCCATTAAGATGCCAAACATGGAGGCTAATGACAAATTAACCAGCATCACATGCACATGAATCCTCCTTCGCCTGTGAATTATTTAGATGTTTTAATGCCCTGCAAATGTTTTCTTTACAACAAGCAGAAAGAGCTGAGCTTAAGCAAATTAATTCGAATGGCTGACTTGTAATTCCTATAAAAGTTCATCCACTTTTATTTGCCTTTCCCCTTCACCAGCCCTGCAAACCTCCAGGCACATGTCTCTGAAACGGCTGGCCGATGTCCTTAGCTAATGTGGTTAGGGAGCAGATTCACAGAAGAAGGGTTTGAAATTACTGGTGCCTCAGCCATTAGGATTTCATTTCTCCCTGTAACTAATGGATTGGGAGTGACAGACAGCCACTGCCTGATACATCTGCGCTGTTGCTTTGGTTTACATTCATCCATTGTGAAAATTGAACACAGGTGGATAGGAAGCTATACTGGGAAGTAGGGCTGCGCGATAAATCGCATGCGATATTTAACGCGCATCTTATCAGTAAAGCCGGTTTTGTAATCAGCGGTGGAAGCTGAGAATCACATTTCCCACTAAACAAGATGAATCTGTTTAGAAATGGACAAAAAAATTACATGCCTTACAGTATGTTGCTTAAACTGGGAATAACACCTTGTAACAGAATAAGATCAACCATTTCATAGCCCATTAAAGCTGTACTGGAAGCTTTCATACTTGTCATTTAGCAGATGCATTTAATCCAAGGTGACATGCGGGTACACCAACGCAGGGATCGGCAAAAGAAACTAGCTCCATTTTTTAGCCTCTCAGTCACCAAATGCCCTACATAAAATTTAAAATCTAGGTTAGCAGAGCAAAGACGGACATGTTTTTTGAAGACTGACAAGTGGCAGTCTTGTCAGTCTTCTACTGTTTGAAATGCTTGTTTGTTTTGCTCATTTGAAGTGATAAGCATACATTTTGAAAACATTATGTGCAACCACTAACATACCTCTACTTTCTTTCTCTTTCCAGAAAACCGGACACTCTAACCGAACATTTGGGCGGTTCACTCATGGTGTGTTTGGCTTTATAGATAACAGGTTATTACAAGAGAGATTTTATGATAACTCTTCAGTCTGTCAGTCATCTAATGTCTAGTCTTTGTTTAAATTCGAGGATGCATTGATTTTTCCTTTTACAATTTGAAAGAGAATGCATCTAATCTTGAAGTATCCATCTGCTAGCAGTCATGAGAACAATGTAAAATTGAAGAATTGAAGTCATGAGAATGAGTGAATTGAACTTTGGAAATTTAATTGGAATGACATGGAGAACTTTACTGAATTTGAAGAATTTCAACCAGTGTTTAATATTATTTATATTGTTTTAGAATATTTATTAATATTTTGATTTAGCTTTTATTTTTATATTTTCAGTTTTCATGTGAATTCAGTTCTAGTGATTTTGTGCTTTTGTGATTTGTTTTAAACTAATGTTTCTATTTAGCTTTATTTGTATTTAAGTTTTAGTAATTACAGAGGTGTCCTGTTTTTTTAATTGTTTGCATATTTGTCACACTTAAAAGATTCAGATCATCAAACAAATTTTAATATTAGAATCTTTTAAGTGTGACAAATATGCAAAAAAAAAAAAAAACAGGAAGGGGGCAAAAACCTTTTCACGGCACTGTAGTACTTTTTGTCATTTGCGGTGGGTATAGAAAAGAATCACCCCCTTTAAAATAATCACATTTTGTTGCTTTGCAGCCTGAAATGAAGACGGACACAGTTTTTGTTTTATCCAGCTGTATTTACTCAGTGCAACTTATAACATCCAAGTGAAAGATATAACACCAACATGAATTTTGAATAACTTTTGCTGAGTTAAAGTTGTTTATATTTTCTGTTTAGTTAGCTCCTTGATATCTCGCCCAGACTTCTGGTTTCAGTATGAAATATGTAAACAGCCAACACAAGACAGAAAACTGTGCTCGTCTTTAATTATGTTCAGCTGTAACATGTAACTTGCCAACTTCCAAAATGTGTTTCTAACTGTGAAGTATCACACAAATGTGTGCCAAAACAAAGTCTAAGCCTCTGTTGCATCTGGAGATTGATGATAAATCATTAAGATTTAGGATTTCCATCACTTGATTCTCTGAGGCAAGCCAAAAAAAAAGTAATCTAATATCCCTTTGATTATGTTATTGTAACCAATCTCTGAATCAAAGCCCTCCATAACCTCATCAGAGACACCTACATCAGAGGAAGTGTTCAGTTCAGACAGATATGATCTAAATTGTGTGCCTTAAGTTGTGTAAATAAAGTACTTCTGCTGCTGCACTGCTCCCGTTACCTCTGAGAAGCGTTTATTATAAATGACTGCTAATGGGGATATCATTTATATTCATGTCTGATAATTATAATATAATTTAGTCTGCATTATATCAATCTGCACACTCTGAAATACATCTCAATGCAGCAGGTATATGTAACGCATGCTTAGTTTTAAGTACTGACTGTGCTGCATCTTATGATTTGTTAGTGTTGTGTACTTATTGTGATTTGTAATAAATCATTGTGTTTTTTATGATTATTTCCTCTGTTATTGAAGATGTCAGTCAGTGTCAGTGTTGTGTCTGTGTGCTTGGGTTTGAGAAGTCATGCTAGACAGATTTTCTGGAATTGTCTGTCTGCTCGCTCTGATAAAGAGGAGCCTAACAATGAATCAATTCACTTTATGTACAAAGGCACTATAATCTCAGCATCAATAATGCAAAAAGCTTAGCATTGAAGCAGTTTATACGAACTGCTGACACTTTTGCACTGATATGATGAGATTTTAGATGTGGCTCCCTATAAAACCTCTTTATATTGAAACTATGCCTTAAATAATTAATTAGACAGGCAGAATTAATGTGGATTACTCTCTTTATTACGTTCTCCGTTGAAGATCTGGAACTATTACAACATTTTCTTTCATGGGAATTCATATTAGTCCTTTTTTATTATATAAGAACCTCATGGATTAAAATGTTGTTTCTGATAATCATTAATAGTTAGAAATACACAGTAGATTATTTACTGCAGCACCATCTGGGTAACTAAATTAGCCTTGATCTCATTTAAAAAGGATGATAATTTCATCAAAATTAACTGACTTAATATATTATACATAAATGATTGAAAAATATGCATTGAAAAGCTCAAAATCCTTATCTTGTCTGAGATGAGAAATATTTGATTACCAGTAGTCGGGAATTTGCTGCTCCTTTTACAAATTTATACGGGCGGGATGGAGCCCACAGGGTTTGATGGGCAAATGAAAAAAGATCCTATATAATTAAAAATTAAATTAAATTTCATTTAATGTGTGGAGACTTTCTTTAACTAACTAAGCCTTTAGGTAAGTCATTTTGCATTTTGATTGGCCTGTTTGACCATCATTACCAGCTCTTACCATTGTTTGCCCAATGGAAGTTCAGAAATTATTATAAACGCAGAAAACAAAACAAAAGCATATAGCAGTGGTGTTGTGCAGCAAGTACTAGTCTCAACCAGGACCAGTAAACTGCAAATGTGTCCATTCAGCAGTTTGTTGCTGTGCTATCTGTTTTCTGGGATGGGATTCGTCTCTAGTAACGGTGATGTCTTGTCTGCTTCTCTCCTCTGCCACTATGGAAGCGAAGTTTTCCGCTCCTGTCGGAAGCAAAGTTATGGTAATGTTTATTTTCATCTTTAGGCTCATTGCAGTGGTTCGTCCTCTCTTTCCCCACCAATCTCCCATTTCAAACACCATTTCTATTTATTAATTTCACTTATCACTATGCGTCAACCCAAATCTTGCTTTTTTTGCTCAAGTGATGCACTTTTCCTCAAGACAGCAAAAATAGTTTACTCAAATTATTTTCTTAGTTTGAAATCCATTATCTTTACAGTTGGTAGTTTCTAACTTAATGTCTTAAAATATATATATATATTTTTTTTTATGATACTGTATTATTACTGTGGTATGCAACTGCAACCACATGTTCTGGACTTGGAAAATGTCTTGTCCATGTATGTAGGACATGTATGTAGGAATGTATTTGCTTCTGTCATTGTGCAGTGTCCTTGAGCTTGGGAAAGGCGCTATATAAATTAAACTTATTATTATTTCTCTGTGTTAGACTCTGAGACTACAGAAGACGAAGCCGCTGAGCCACAAATACCCCTGGAAGCTAAAGAAGGAGCCAGAGGTTTTCAGGATGAGGCCCAACGAGTGCCTGCAGGTACGCATGACGCTTTCAAAATGAACTACTATGTGAACTTTTTTCAGTCATGTCTTAAAATGTGTATTTGCAGAGCTTGTTAAAAAAAATATATATACTGTGTATATATATATATATTAAATTAAACTAAAATAAAGTTTTAAATTGTAATAATTTTTAACTTTCATTTTTAAAATAGTTTTTTTTTACTATTTTTGATCAAATAAATGCAGCCTTGGCGAGCATCTTCTTTTAAAAACATTATAAATTACCGACCCTAAACCTTTGAATGGTAGTTTATTTATAAACCCCTCAGCTGTTAAAGGAATAGTTTCCCCCAATAAAATAAAAATGCTGTCAAACAGAATCAGAAAAAACTGCATTGGCCAAGTGTGCTCACACACACAAGGAGGGTTTATTTTTTGGTTTACATAACTCTGAGCACTTGCGTATATTAAATACAAGATACATTGCAAGAATGAACATCTAGACTGAGTAAACAGAAACATTAACAGGTGTATGCAGTGTGTTTTAACCGTGTCAATATATATTAGGTAATGTTCTTTTTTTTATTGCATAATGTCCAATATAATATTAGTAAAAGTAATGGACCGTACAGTAGTGGTTCTTAACAGTTATAGATGGATATGGGAACTTCTTATTCCTGAATTTTCTGGTGCCCAGTGGTCTGTACCGAAGTACAAAAACATTATGTCCTGGGTGTGTGGCTTTCATGATTTAGTTTTCTTGCCCTTTTCCTCACTCTGGAGGTGTATAGGTCCTGGCAGGAGGGCTGGATGCGCACATGCCATTACAAACCCATAGGCTGTTATTTTCTTTTGTGACACACACAAATTTTTTTTTTCATACAATGGCAGTTCATAGCGACCATGGCCATACAGCTTCAAAAAACAGCATAAAAAAAAAAAAAAACTTAAAGGGGTCATATGATGCTGCTAAAAAAGAACATTATTTTGTGTATTTGGGGTAATGAAATGTGTTTATGCGGTTTAAAGTTTAAAAAACACATTATTTTCCACATACTGTACATTATTGTTTCTCCTCTATGCCCCGCCTTTTTGAAACGCGTCGATTTTTACAAAGCTCATCGGTCTGAAAAGCAAGGTGTGCTGTGATTGGCCAGCTATCCAATGCGTTGTGATTGGCCGAATACCTCAAGCGTGAGACGGAAATGTTACGCCCCTCACCATACTGTTGATGCCGTGTCCCGGCCGGAGCGACGAGACAAAAACATTAAAACCCATTACAAACGAGGCATTTGTTGCATCCAGTGGGGACATAATTACTGATTATAATGACTTATACGGTCTTTTTACGCGTTGCGTTGCATTTCTGAACTTTTATAAAGAATATCTCTTTGGATTTGAGACTTTAGTCTTTGCAACTTTACAGATCTTCTTTATGCACCAAGAGCTTGTAACACTCCAAAGAGAAAGGAAAAATTGAAATCGCATCATATGACCCCTTTAAAAAAGTAAGTAGCCCATACAAATTATTTGCTATATTCCGAGTCTGCTGTGATAGTTTATGTGAGGAACAGAAAGAAAGTTTGTTTTCTGATGTGTTCACCCTTCATTGATAATCTTCCCCTCCACTGAAGCTCTGAAATCTCATTTGCCTTTGCAATTAGATTTAAAAATGGTACATTGACCAAACAGAACATTGTTTCTCACCTGTAAACATGGCGAGCCAGTTAACATGATCTTTTCAGTGAATAATGAGCTACATTTCAGTCTGATCCTCACACAAAGCTATCGTATGGCTTACAAAGACTTGGAATTCAATTCAATTCAATTCAAGTTTATTTGTACAGCGCTTTTCACGATACAAATCATTGCAAAGCAACTTTACAGCAAATTAAGTTTCTACAATATTTAGTGGTAGCTTATCAGTGGTGACTGTCAATTAATGTACATATGGCAGAAATGTACGCTAATGCATGAGTCAAATGGACTGTTTTTATAGTTCCTTTGGGGCTTTTTTATTTGTTTATTTTTGGTTCTTTTGGAGCTTAACGTGCTTTTGTCACAATTAGCTTTCAGTGTAAGGAATTGCATACAGCATATGGGTTTGGAATGGGATGAGTAAATAATGACATTTTTAATATTTCATGTTAATGCTTTGATATTGGTTATTCTGTTTAAGAAAATGTTAATGCAAAACTTGCATTAGTTGATGCTAAAGTGACTTAAATCACACATTCTGTTTATTTTGGATGTGTTTACAGTCACTGCTGTTCACTCAGATAAATCACACATTATGCTAAATCTCTAGGCATTTTTGGTAAGACAGGTGCTCAGAGGGGTAATAATAAAGAGGTAACAGCAAACAGAAGCTCACACATTAACAACAAAAGATGAAAGCCACAAATCAAATATATTTAAATATTCACAGGTATTTGAATGTAAAGTGTAAATGCATATCCATTTTTTCTATATATTTTTTTATTTCTCTTTATCTATTAACGTTAGGTCCAGTTATAATGTTTATAATATCAAAATGGTCATAATTCACCTATTCATGACCATTCTCCACGCTAGATATTAGAATTAAACAGGCAGGCTTTATGAAATGGTTTAGAATTTTATTCACATAAATAATACTAAAGTGATCTTGTTCATATCCATAAAGTGCATACATGCATTTTTTTTTTTTTTACATTTTGTATATTTAGTGTCTTTCCAAATGCATGGAAACGTGTGCTTGAACCACGCTTTTAGTATGAAAACCTATGAATAATAATGAGATGACGTTGCATGTATATCATCTAATTTAAGGTGTTATACATAACTATTCTTGGTTGGAGGCTGGACGTGGTTGGTTTGTGCATGTGTGATTTTTTTTTATTTTAACCAAAAAAAAAAACCCAACAACTTAATATTCATGAATATAGCAGGGATTAAAGTTGTGTTGCTATGACGGATTTCCATCAGTTCATAAAGACAGTGACTTGCTTCATTCCTGAATGATTCAGCCATTCGAACAAATCAATTGAATTAATGATTCAGTGATCAAATCAGTGACTTGCCGCCACCTGTTGGCGGATTTAGTTTCATTTTTAGCATATAATTTCAGTTATTTAAATCATATTTCTGTATTCAAAATTTTATATTTAAAACATTAATCTCCACATGAATTTATGAATTTAATTGCACTCATGCCACCTCTGA